TGCTTTCAAGCAGTGATGCTTCTGATTTCTATTCCAGAAATGACCGGTTATAATCTCGCCCGAAGTACCTTCAGGAAATTTCCGAGATATTACCTCAGATCAGACTTCAGTCGCTTCTGTTGTAATTAATTGTTCAATAAATAATCATATTATTTGCCACCCTATAGCCTGCGATAACGGCAGATTTCATCAAATAATCGCAAATAAATAGATATGATTGTTCAATCATAGATACACTAGCCTGGGTTGGAGAGATACACTGTGACCTTAGTTACTGTAATTTTACTAAGTTGGTCAAACAATTTTATATTATGTAAGTTTTGAGGTTTTCACGGCGATGACTATGAAGAAGGTCGTCTTCTGGGATCTGGTGCCGTGTGTTCTTCGTTTCAACCGACGTTTCGGAGGAACATATCGCCTCTCTCTTCAGGGTAGTTGAGTAGCTATCTCTATACGCACGCTACTCAANTTAAAATCCTTTAAAATTTTCTCTAAATTTTAAATTTAGAATTTAAAATTGTTAGGGTTACTCGCCCTATGTCTAAAGTGCTGGAGCGGCTAGTTCTTGTTCCACATTGTACAGGTGTTATTCTGTGTGGTCTTCCTGTGTGCGTGCCGCTGCTTGTCTTTACTACGTGTGCTTTCAGTGTGGCAGCAACGTAAGGAGTATACACCTGATGATGGCCGATAGAGGCCGAAACATGTAGTGTAGAAGAGAACAAGATCAAAGACATAATATATATTGTTTGCACTTGGGACGGAGTGTGTATCATTTATCGTGTAGAGTGCAACAGGATGCTGAGATATAATATTGTAAACAGCTACTCAACTACCCTGAAGATGGAGGCGATATGTTCCTCCGAAACGTCGGTTAAAACGAAGAATACACGGCCCAGATCCCAGAAGACGACCTCCTTAATTTTATATTAATTTAAGGCTCGTTAAAAAAAATAGAAAACCTTACTGTAACGCAACTCATTAGTTTCTTAGAGATTTTTTTATTTATTCATCCCCTCCATCATTCCTTAATACGACTGGATTTGGCCTCATCTTATCGAACATGCGGGTTAAGCAGTTACTTCTCTCTCTTTAATTCTCTTTACACTTAGTTTCAGAGAGTGGTTACTACTTGCGTTATCTCTGCATTCTGCCCACGGAGCGTATTTAGTATTTTGATTGTAAGAAACACTAGGAATTATTTCCTTAAATAACAATAACCGACTGGTCCCTGTTACGGTGACGTTGAGAGTTTTCTGTCCGGTAGGAACTGAAGGAAGTAGGGTTGTCATGCTGACTCCGAAAATTAAAATTCTTCTTCATTCCACCGATTGTTCCACAATCATCATCATCATCATCATCATCATCATCTATCATCTGGTGGTACAATAGGCCAGTAGTGGCCGCAGTACCAAGTGGACTCATTCTCACCCTAATAATAATGTGGGGGCACGCGGTAACGTAGTTGATTGAGACACTATGCTACAAGCAGGAAGGTCGCGAGTTGTAGTCCCGATGAGGTCATTGGATTTTTTTTTCAATTGACTAATCCTTCCAGCCGCACTATGGCCCTGGGATCCACTTGGCCTCTAACAGCAATGAGTACCAGGAATTAATTAAGTAATTTTCCTGGGGAGTAAAGCGCGGCCGGCGCGTAAAGCTGACAACCTCACCGCCATCTTTGAGCCGATTGTCTAGATAATGTGGGACCCTCAACGTCTCACAACCTTATGGGCCTTCATGGCCTGGTACATGGATAGCTTTACTTTACTTACTTTAATACTAATAATAATATTTTGTCGCGTGTTTCCTGGGCAGCGCGACAAGAAATTGTGTGAGTCTTGGACTTGAACGAATGTTTCTTGGACGATCACTCTTTGCACTAACAAATACAATTATTTGCACGTTTCCTCTTCAGTGTTATACACTCTCACACCTCTAATCTTGGTGAAGTGTCCTCTGCTCTGCTCGGAGCTCAACTGTCCCTATTTCTCGTCCCGTACGAACTCTGGTCTCTTTTCGGAGTTGGACTGTTATATCCTGCACTCGGCCTGGCTAGGGAACACCTTGTCGAAGGGTTTCGTTTCGCCCGCTGCTATGCAACGGATCTCTTGTTGCCGCGGGAATACATTTCGTCATAAATAACGGTGAAAACCCACTGTTACACTTTCATCTCCCCGGGGCAACGATTTCCTAGGCATTACTATATAGGAATTGTTAGCTGTTGACCAGTGACGGACGTCTTACCGTCCGCCCTTCCTGGTGGCACATCACAATATGTTAGATAATGAGATTTCCATTGAAAATATAAAACAAAAAGACATCAGGAAATGAAGAACTTGCAGTAGAGATGTTGGCAAGAGTAGGACTAGACGAATGCAATCAATATATAGAATTGTGTGGAAGGTTTGACAGTCAAATGAAGAAAGGTGTAACCGGAAGAAGAGAGTAAACATACAGACACACGAGTACGAGTACAATGCAAGAAAGGAGCCAAGAATCTCGACCACAAATGCAAGCAATATTTCTCAGCACTGTTACGAAATTTATGAAAAATTGTATGTAATAAAATACAAAAGAAATAAAGAGTTATTCAGTAGCACAGTAATTCCGTTTGGGTAATTCCATTACGGACATCAGTTTTACAGTGAAACTGTCGATGGAGAAACACTGGTAACATGGAGGGAATGTGGTAATTTCTTTTTTGTAATTATGCTTCGTATATGTATTTTGATAAATGACACAGCAGTATAAAAGAGAATACACGTAGATTTGATCAAACTGAAGATTATAAATGCCAGAATATCTTATAGAAAAAGCCAACACATAACAAATATAAGAGTTGCGTTAAAACAATATTATGAAACTCGACTCGATGCAAGTGATTGAGTGACGAAAGAAAGTGTTTTAGGTAGGCCGAACACCAGCATGCGTCAAGACATGTAACAATCAAGACACGATGTCTGCGACATGACGCAAAGAAAAGAGCACAGTTGAAACGAATGAGATTATGAAAACCGCCGCACAATGGTCTGAGTCATGATGCTGACGGCAGCTTCATGCTGATGAATCATGAATGAAGCAAGACTGCGTCTTTTGTCACATGTCTTGATGCTTTTCTTGACGCAGTTGATGTGCGGCCGCCCTAACAGTCAGGACACGATGTCTGCGACATGACGCAAAGAAAGGAGCACAGTTGAAACGAATGAGATTATGAGAACCGCCGCACACTGTCTGAGTCGTGATGCTGACGTCATGTCTTGACTGTTACATGTCTTGAAGCCTGCTGGTGTGCGGCCTACCTTACTGTTAATCTCATTTAAGGCTGCGATGAATGAAAACTGCTAACAAAGTTACAGGAAAGAACAAAAGACCACGCATTTAATCGCTGCTTCCTGTGAACAGTGTGATATTTGGGAGGAGGGATGAAAAGAAATGGAGGAGAAACTAAACCAATGGAACGTTGCTATAGAGGACTTCAGATTCAAAATTTATGTGGACAAGGAAATGACTTAGAGAATTTTAAGGAATATAGACGCATTTGTCGGAATAAAGTCAACGGCATAATTATTGAATAAGTGAAGAATTTATTTACTTATTTTATTCTCTTTAAGTTAAATCAACTGAAATTGGAAAATAAATACTGAGACCAATGAAACAATCCAGGTTATAAATTTTATCGCATTACAAATTGAATGCCATGAAAGAGATTGACCTTTGAACCATGTAAAATAATAGCATGTAAGGTCTATTTTGAACAGATGCTAGCATATATCGCCGAAACACGAACCCACAAGAAGAGGGCAGAATTAATTAGAAATTAATTTCTTAGCGGAGTTGGAGTTGAAAATATGTTACACAGTCAGAAGAGAATATTATCAAGATGTGGCCAAGTAAAGGATGATAGAGCAAGGATATTGCAGTTAGAATTTAAAGGAAATAGTCCTGTTGGGTGGACAAGAACAGGGTGGTTCAGCCGGGAACTGGAAGACATGAGGAAGGGAGGAAAGAACTGACAAGAAATCCAAAAAAGAATTGTGGGAATAAAGAAGAGATCGGAAACGTCTCGGCCGTCGAACTGGAACGAGGCTCTAAGATGGACAAAAATAAGATTATCATTTCAAATTTTGTAAAACGTGTGTGCCGACACATAAATTATAAGTCTTTATTAACTTCGTATTAAACTTTACAAGGTTAATAACAATTTCATTGATATCTAAAATTTCAAATATGGCCTTTGTCGAAGCGACGACAATGAAGGAGAATTGCATTCTGGGAGTAGTTAACTGGAGATACCGCTCACGGAAATCTTGCTGCCATTCGGTTCTGAATCAGTCTGCTATTAAAATTCCTAAGAATTAAAATACATAAAACTACAATTTTGTGTTTATTCTCTTACACAAGTGTTTGAGAATAGGGTGCTGAGGAGAATATTTGGACCGAAGAGAGATGAAGTGACAGGAGGTTGGAGAAAACTGCATAATGAGGAGCTTCATAACTTGTACTCTTCTCCAAGTATAATTAGAATGATCAAGTCAAGGAGGATGAGGTGGGCACGGCATGTAACGCAAATGGGGGCGAAGAGGAATGCATAGAGGATATTCGTGGGAAAGCCAGAAGGAAAGAGGTCACTACGAAGACCAAGACATAAGTGGCTGGACAGCTTTAAAATGGACCGTAGAGAGATAGGATCATATGGACTGGATCGATCTGGCTCAGGATAGGGACCAGTGGAGAGCTATTATGAACACGGTAAAGAACCTTCGGGTTCCATAAAATACTGGGAAGTTCTTGAGTAGCTGCAGATTTGTCGGCTTCTCAAGAAGGGCTCCATGAAGTTTAGTTTGTATGAGACTACATTTCTCACCGCCTGGGAAGAGCATAATACAGGATGTTTTAGAACAGAGCGGTGAGCAGAAGATTTCATACTGGTAGAGATAAAGCAGTAGGTTGCAGAAAATTGAGTAATAAGAAACCTCAGAATTTGTGTACTTCGCCTAATATTTCTAATTTGATGAAATGAGGGCTTGAACGAGATGAGAAAATCCTACGTTTCTGTCGCAAACTTGAAAGGAAGTTATTACTTACGAGACTGAGGCGCGTATGTGAGACTATTATTCTTGTGTCTCTTACAGAAACTGGGCGCTAGGATGCCTACTGAATTCTGCTGTCCCAGGACAGGTTGCAGCGGGCGGAGTATTGTGCCTACCCCGCCCTCTGCAGTCCGACACAAAATGAACCTATGTTCAATTCTCAGAGAAGTACCTTGCATAGCGAAATTTATAAGCATCACAATGGCACAATGAACAGTCAGTTCAGTAGATCAGCTTCAGCCAGGAATCTGTAGAAGGATTCGCGATACACTCCAGTAGGGTTGTACTTTCTGGCGATTTCTTGCCAGTCACTTGGTCTGTTCTTCATTAAGTACAGCGCTGCCTTCCTTATGAAATATTTGTGCGAGTTGCTGCAGTCTGCGCAGGCGTTCTTCAAAGCGCGCGGAATATTCTCTAGAACACAAGTACAACAGATTTGTTTAGTAAAGAGTACTGTATTCTGGTATCTAACAAGGTTTGGTCAGTTGAAAATCAAACGGAATTTTGGAAAACACATCACATCCATCATTAAAAGCCAAGCAATAAACGAGCTCTGGTTGCTACTTATTTAATTTTGGTACGAGGGTCGTACTGAAAGTCATGAGCAACAATTTTTTGTAAAGTAACATGCTTTATTATTGACAAACCAAATACACCACCTCAATATACAGACCTTTCTTTATTTTTCCACATAATCGCCACTTCTTTGTACACAATTCTCCCAGCGTTCTGGGAGTTTGAAAATTCCTCTTCTGTAAAATTCCGTTCCAGCCATCCGAAGACACTGACGCACTGCTTTCTTAATTGTCTCCCTTGTCTCAAAACGTCCACGCAGCTGATCCTTCACAAATCCGAAGAGATGGTAGTCGGAGGGTGCCAGATCAGGACTATAGGAGGGGTGTGGAAGAACTTCCCACCCCATCTTTGCAATTGCTTCCAGTGTGAGGCGAGCGGCGTGGGGGCGAGTGTTGTCATGTAGGATGATGATGTTTCGTCCCGGACGTTTATCGAGCAACGCACGACGGAGCTTGAGCAGCGTCTGGACATAACGAGCAGCACTGATGGTTTGCCCAGGTTCCAGGAATGATGCTGACTTCATGACTCAGACCGGTGTGCGGCAGTTTTCATAATCTCATTCATTTCAACTGTGCTACTTTCTTTGCGTCATATCGCAGACATCAAGTCTTGACTGTTATATGTCTTGATACATGCCGTTGTGCGGCCTACATTAGAACGCTCGGCTTCCGCTACCGGCAAACATAAATTGTTACCGTATTAAAGATATGAACCGAAATCTGTGTTTTATGGTTTTATTTCTTTTACTGGCCTCAACAAAAAACATTTTACATTATTTAAGACGATTTGAACCGTAATGTAAAAATATACCAGAAAATTATTAATTAGGTTTTTATTTCAGAATATAGGCATTAATGTGAGGCATTTTAACTTAATTGAACTGGTCACCATAAAATAAAGGTGAACAAAAATTTACTTTGTGTTTAATATCTAAAAGATTTTAACAATGATATATTAATAAAATCACACACTTTCGGGCATTTTCCGTAGCCCTGCTTTTTTGTGTAAAAGCAGCTTTTCGGAAATTGGACTCTTTCTCCGTCCTCAGGTGAAAACCTACTCAGTGGGTGCCAATCGACAGAACTAGTCCATATTTGCGGACACCACAACCAATACAAGATAGGATACATAAGCCAGACACAACATAAGTCATCAACAGGTAAGACAAACATTGCAAGACTTCACACACACGAGGCCTAGCACCTACGCTCATACCGTTAAATTGTGGCTTTAACCTTAGTCCAGTCTTGAAATGTTGTTTTTAAGTATAATATAGGACGATGAATAGTATCCAAAAAGTCAATAACTGCACGTTTTGTGTGATTCAAAACTCACCCTTCAAATCTCTTCCTTCCGGGTTACAAGGCCCCTTGTCCAAAATGCAGTTGATGTAACTGCGCAAAGTTCGGTGATTGGACAGGAGGTCATCCACATCTAAATACTCGTATTTTGATGACGTGTTCCCTGTTGTGACCCACACAGTGAACAAGATGCAAGCCCCCACAATTGCCCTCTTCATTATAAGCACCAGGTTGGAGTCTGTGTCTTCCACGAGTAATCACTTTTTATATGCGTCAGCCTCTCTTATTCATCTAAATTACATTATAAACAGCGCTGGAAACTTACCAAATCCTGTAATTCACGTTCAAGAGTAAAACAAGTCGCAGTTTGTTTACGCAGATTCAAACCTTCTCTCTCGTCAATGCCGAGTGGTTCTTCAAGGATTCTATCTATTTTGAAACATCTTCTGCTATAAGTTAACTAATTATCTGTCAGGCTATTAGTTATCCATTTTATTATTTAACTATTAGCAATATAGTTTCCAAGTTTATTTATCTAAAAGTCCAGAACACTTAACTGAACTATTTGTGACCTGAGTCTCTAAGAGTTTATTATTTGATGTTTATGATAAGAGTACGATATAATATCAGGGCTAGATCCGATATGACATCGCAGAGAATGACCTGATCTTGAGATACAACATGACGGATATACAGGAAACAAGAGTGAAATTCTCTGTCCTGCTTCCTGTAGCTTTTATGTTAGAGAGAAATGCTAAAACAAAACATAAGACACTCTTGCAATGTATAAAACTATTATGGGAATGTTTATTGTAAGGTCACTTCCTTTAAGAAATAATTAACTGGTTTTTCCTGCAGACAACATAGATGAGAACCATTCCTTCTTAATGAGAATTAAATTTACAAGGACTTGCACTTCATCTCAGAGTAAGTAACAAACGGAGACCTCTTTCTTTCTTTCTTTCTTCCTTTCTTTCTTTCTTTCTTAATGTGATTTCGATTTCACGCAGTCTCAAATTCTGCAGTAAGTAAACGCGTTGAGTAGAATGAATCGACTAACTTTTCTCCTGTATTTCAGAAGAAGCCTCAAGTCTCTTACAATTTCACTGCAGCCTTCACTAGCTCTACAAATACACCTCCTTCCATGTGAATGGTAATTAAGAAGTTACGTAATATTGTAATGTGTATGAGTGACCATAAATTTGGCTGGGATTGATATTTGAATTTATTGAACTACAAATAATTATAGAATTACCGCTAATTCGCTCACTCTACATTTCATTGCACCAAGATTTTCAGTCATCCGTGTCTTCAGTTGTCGTTTTCTGGTAGCGGCTTCCAACACCGTAGCTTCCTCGGCTTCCGTGTTCACGCACTTACTGTTCGGCGATTGCCTTCCAACTAACTAAACTCTAGACTTGTCCTGTTTATAATGACTCGGCACGGACCGTATAGAGAAAACCGCTTACAACAGTTGCGATATGTTATGCAGCTATCGCATGAACCGCGTAGAGAACTACTCTTTCCAGTTAGTTCATTTGTGCATGTTATGAATCTGTTGCCTAACAACAGACATTATTTACAGAGTCGGTCCTTAACAACGGGTTTACATGCTGCAGTATTATTCATGTGTAGTCTACGAACACATTCTGTTAGATAGAAGACCATCAATCACCCCAGAAAATATAGAAAAGATTCTGATTGTGTATTGTACATTGGATAAATCTGGCTCAGGATAGGGACCAGTGGAGGGCTCTTGTGAACACGATGATGAACTTTCGGGTTCCATAAAATGCTGGGAAATTCTTGAGTAGCTGCAGAATTGGCGGCTCCTCAAGAAGGGCTCAGCTCCATGAGTAAGTAAGTAAGTGACATCTGTCAGCACGTACTGCAGGAGCATGATCTTCCTGTATACATTGGTGGCGTCATCTTGCGGTGTCTATTAGAACTACCAACATATGCTCACGGTAGATCTGTTATTAAAGCTCCCCACCATCTCAGTGAGAGTCCCTGGATCCCACAGCATAGCTTGACCGCAATGGCAATTAGCCAGGCTGACAAATAGGAGAATGCAGTCGGGCTAGCAATTTGGATTAACTGGGATAGGGAGAATGAAAGAACGCAGAGCATCAACAGTCAACAATCCAGGTTATGTATTTAATGGAATCAAATACACGCAAATCTTTCCAATTATTCTCGAAAGATCTTGCAAGGGCGAAGTTACCCCCACCCCTTTCTGGCGTTCATCTGAAGCAAGTAGAGCATGGATCATACCGAAGACGAAAAAATAACAAAGGTATCGATAGTTTAAAATTTGTTTCCAGCATTTCTCATTCTGTGCTTCGTCGTGGTTAAATTTTGATTTTGATTTGATATTTCAGTTTCTAGCTATGCTGATGATGAGTCGCTGGCTTCCCAACGCGGCGGCCCGGGTTCGATCCCGGGTCTGGTCAAGTGGGATTTGTGGTGGGCAAAGTGGCGCTGAGGCAGGTTTTCTCCTAGTACTTCGGTTTCCCCTGTCAATCTTCATTCCACCAGATGCTCCACAATCACCGTCACCTATCATCTGGGGCTGGTACAATAGGCCAGAAGTGGCCGCAGTACAAGGGACTTAGTCCCACCCCACTAGCAATAAAAAAAAATAAAAAAGTATGCTGATGATGTGAATCTGCTGGGTGATAACATTCATACCATAAAGAAAAACACACAAGGAGGTTGGCCTAGAAGTAAACACAGAGAAAACTAAGTATATGTTGCTGCCTCGTCACCAAAATGCAGGGAGAATTCATGACATAAAGATAGAAAACAGATGTTCTGAAAATGTGCACAATTCAAGTATTTGGGAACGACTATAACAAATCAAAACCTGATTCAGAAGGAAATTAAGATGAGATTGAACCCGGGTAATACTTGCTACCATTCAATCCAGAAACTTTGGTCAAAAACTATAATTTTGCACGTGGTTCTGTATGGATGTGAAACTTGAGGGTGTTTGAGAACAGGGTGTTGAGGAGAACATTTGGCCTGAAGAGAGATGAAGTGACAGGAGGTTGGAGAAAACTGCATAATGAGGAGCTTCATAACTTGTACTCTTCTCCAAGTAAAATTAGAATGATCAAGTCAAAGAGAATGAGATATGAAGGGCATGTAGTACGAATGGTGGAGAAGAGGATAGCATATAGGATATTTCTGGGAAATCCAGAATGAATGAGACCACTGGGAAGAGAAGGTGTAGGTGGGTGGACAATATTAAAATAGATCTTAGGTAGGATGGGGTGGTATAGATTTGATTGATGTGGTTCAGGGTAGGGACCAGTGGATGGCTCTTGTGAACACGGTAATGAACCTTCGGGTTCCATAAAATGCTGGGAAAATCTCGAGTAACTGCAGATTTGGCGGCTTCTCAAGAAGGGTTCAGCTCCACGAGGGAGTGACTTGAGTTTCTAGCCTACTTTTACTTGGTAGGTGCGAAGTTACATTTGGATGCCAAAGCACGTTATGTTCTTACTCGCGGTTTGTATTCCAGAAAACAATGGATCGTCGCAGGAGATGCTTTACTTCTGGATGCAACTTGACCAACGGAAGGACAGAACTGAAGCCCAGTGCCAAGTTTCCCTGGTTTCTTCTTTCGCTTACTTTTCTACCCTGAAAACGGAGGCGATATTTCCTCTGAAACATGGGTTGACTTTCATGGAACTACAGACATTACATCCCAAAAGACACAAGTTCTCGAAATTTTACAAATTTCGAAAGATTCCAGCCAGTTTTGTCTGTTGTGTATATCTGTTCCTGTTCGTAACTAGCTGATGCAACCAGCCTTGCACGGACGTAATGCGGACCTGTAATTAAGTAAGTAAAAATAAAGCTACCCCTGTACCAGGCCTTGAAGGCCCATGACGTTTGAGACGTTCAGGGTCCCACATTATCTAGACAATCGGCTCAAAGATGGCGGTAAGTTTGTCAGCCTTGCGCGCCGGCCGCGCTTTACTCCCCAGGAAAATAATTTAATTAATTCCTGGTACTCATTTCTCCCCCTCCTTGGTGTCTCCACCTTATCGTGGTGAGGGGGTTTGAGTATGCCAAGGACCCTGAGAGCTATACCAGCGGTAGCGTAGCTACTGGCAGGGCCTCCCTTGCTGGACAGATCAAAGGGTAGTCATCAGACGAAGAGAGACACCAAAAACCAAAAACTGCTGCCGGAAGCAGCGTCATCAGCAGCGACTTGAAGCACAGAGCAAATGATGCTCGAGATGGTTCAAGTTCGTATAGCAACAGGCGTGACCAGAGTGGTTTGAACGGCTGTTGTACTGCGATGTGGAAAGCAAATGGAAAAACTACCACATTATCACTTTTCCTGGATAGTCTCTTTCCTAAAACAGAAGATCGCATTAAGTGGAGAAACTGTTTTGGAAGAGACTGTGGACCTGTCGTCTGACAGATTACTGATGATGATGATGACTCATTTCTGTTAAAGGCTGAGTCGACCCCAGGGCCATAGTGCGGCTGGAAGGGTTAGGTCAACTGAAAAAATCCAACGACCTCATAGGGACCTGACCCCACCACCTTCCAGCTTCTCTGTAATTATGAAGTTAATATATTGAAATTTTATATGTTGATTACAATATTATTAACTTAATGTAATAGAATTATAATGAACTTAATTAATCCATTAAAATTATAAACTATTCTCCAAATCATAGGCAATTTTTTCGTCACAGTGAGAGAATCTTCTAGGGTTGCTTCTTTCTCCTGGATGCTTTTGCTTCCTGCTGTCAAGGAACTGAAATTTCCCTTTATGAAGACCAGCTGACCTTCCATTTCTCTGCATGAGAACTGCTCCTGAGTAGCTTCAATTATCCTTGCCTTCTCTGCCTTCATTGAATCTGCAATGTACTTCACTATCTGAAAATGTTCGCAAACCCTATGTGAATCGATTGTGAAGCGTCAGTTGGCAGTTCTGACTCTTGATGGTGATAATGTAGGAGTGTTGCGAAAATGCTGCACAGCTTCACAAATGCCGAATATGTTGATATACTGTCCTCACACGAATTGCAAAGTGCACTGATGTTGGCCGTGAATTTTTTTAAAAAGTCTTATGCTAGGTAAACTTTGCCAACTTTGTCACTTGAGCAATAAATTCCGATATTAGAAACAGTAAGTAATATCGTTATACAGTAAAATTGCCATATCTCGGAAACCGCTGGGAATATGACACATGTAAATATGTATATTTTTTATTTAGAATGACTGATTCTATGACCTTCCAAAATATTGACCCTTCCTCCTGGGGCACTTTATATATACGTTTCCAATAAACCTTTATTCTGAAAAGTTTTTTTTCCTTTTTGTGGCTGAAATAAACATTCCAGAGAGACACGTGACTTCATCATTTCAGAATTACCAAACCCTATCTCTCTCCCAAAGTAATTCAGTCAATCCACACGTACCTCGGATCACAACAGAGATGTGTTTATCTGTTGTTTTGTATGGGCATATGAAACTTGATCTCTCACGTTACAAAAAGAATACAAATAGAAAATATGTGAGAGCAAGTCTAATAAAACAATTTCCAATCTTGTCGCGGTACCCTAAAAGCTGGAAGAAATGGATGATATTTGTATAGGACACACGTTAATTACTCGTAGTTCGGGGTGGAGTCCAGCTGGTCCACAGGTTACAGGTTTGTTGTCCTCCGGGATTTACAAAAGAAACACCGTGAGGGTCCAAGCTGTAGCGTATTTAGCTTATATGTAAATTCGGCACTGGAACAGCAGTGGCCCTGACCGGAAGGTGTGGAGCACAGAGAATATTATGTTATTTTTCGTTGGTGATTTATCTTCTCGACGTTAGGAGGCCATAAGCTAGAGTTAGGTATAAATCTGTCAAGTGTGTGTACTTGTAGGACTGCAATTGTGTGCTTTAGGGCGAAGCCAAGCGGCTAGCGCTTTTGAACGCGTCATCGAGCGTTCCACTTTCATAAAAGGCAGTGAATTTCTTGACTTTCTGAGCGACTGTTCACTTCTCAAGGATATTTTTTCAACATGGAGTTGTTGGTTGTTTATCACTATACATTGGATTGAAGCCAGCCTCAGCGCAACAGTCGTTTTACCCCAGTTCTTCTAGTCTGACTACTGTAATGTACCCGACAATTCAGCCGAGCCTGGAACTCTGGCCTCTTAGTCGAACCCTGGATCCACCTAGCGCTAAGATCTTTGCTGCGCGCTTGGCTGCCTATCGCCACCGATGTCTGGTGTTGAGGGGGGGGGGATTCTGTTGGTGGGAATCTTTACTGTCTTGATAATCCGTTCATTTTATACCTTACTGTGTCAATTTTTTTTATTGATCATTTTACAGACGGTAGGACTCCTTGAACTTCAGTTCGTCTCAAGGCCTCTACCTACACACAAGAAAACACAAACACAGAATAAACGCACACACACAAACTAAACATCCATGCCTTATGTAGGATTCGAACCCACGATCCCGGCTTCCGAGCGAGCGAAGACAGTACATGCCTCAGACCGCTCGGCTACCGTGACCGGCTGGTGGGAATCACGAATATACAAATGATGTATCATTCGAGGATGGAACAATACGATGCTTCCTCCGTGGTAACCAGAAGAGCGAGGAATAAAAAAACTCTCAAGTAACCCAAGTCTTTCGGAGCCATCGTTTGTTTGTGTGGATAAGTATAAAGGATCTGGTAAAAGTGATTCAGAACACTAAGACACAAAAGCACCATAAGATTCACTTCTTTAAAGACGTGTTATGGTTCTGCAGTTTCAGTAATTCACTTACCCACTTTGGCTAGAATCTTATTCACTTATTTGTAAGGTTACAAGTAGGTTCGGAGATTAGGGATGTATACAGACGGAAAAAACATCACTTCAGTTAAATAATAATTTCATGTATTTTGTGCACACATTAAAATAACTCAGCAGATATAATTAAGGATACGCCTATTTATTTAGAATAAATTACATTGTATTGATGCATTTGCAGTGCTGTATTTGTTTAAATTTCGCTTCCAAAATTCCCAAATCATCAAAGAGCATATACGTCCGTTGGTGAATATGTTTAGGATGTTGAAATCATATGAATCTGCTTCCTCTTAGTCTGTCGCATGGCACTCTTAATTCCATCTCAGGTAGGAACATTTTACAAAAGCGCATCGCTCTTCAGGAACCTCTGGAAGCTGTCAGAGAACTGTCTGTCAGGATCATACTTGTTGGTGATCTCTTTCCAGTCATTGGCTCGGTTTTCCATTAGGTACCTCGAAGCCTTCCTGATGAGCCTCTTCTGTGCATCTGTGCACTTGGCACATTCTGTCCGCAACGCATCCGGTAGATCGGCTGCAAGAACAAAGCATAAATGTTAAAAATGTCTAGAATATTCAGAACTGGGACCAGAAACTTAACATCTATACAACTAACATCTCTCATTAGAGACCGCACCATAACTCAGGCGGTTAGTCGCCGGTTTCCCACCGCGGCAGCCCTAGTTCCAGCCTAAGTCAGGCCATGTGGGATTTGTGGTGGACAAAGTGGCACTGGAAGAGGTTATCTCCCAGTACTTCTGTTTCCCCTGTCAATTCTCATTCCACCTACTACGCCACACTCATTATCATCCGGGGCTGATACAATAGGACAATTAGTGGCCGACGTACCAAGTGGACTCAGTTTCACCACACACCAAGAAACTAAAAAAAAAAAACTAACTAGCATTTGTTTTTCAGTTTTATTTATGTTAAGGTCTATGTAAGTGGCTCTCATAATACACAGTGATAAATAAAAATTTGGCCAGCACGACAAAAGGAATCTTTTGAATAAATTGACGTAATTTAATCTAACTTTTGCTTTTAAATATGGAAATATTGCCTCTATTTCTTAATTGTTTCATGAAGTTTTTCTCATTTTCATAATTCACGATTACGCCTTTATTTTGTTAAAGGGACTGGGGACTGTAAGTAATGGACGTTGGGGGAAGTACTTATGTCTGTGTTCAGGTACTTCCAATATCTGGCTGGTGCTACTAGGAAAAACTAAAAACCTTACACAGGACAGCAGATCGGCCCCGTAAAGTGGAATCACAACGCGAGACTGCCTGTATGAAGCAGGGATGATAGCGAGTCTGTTACGAGGCCGTTGGGTGGAAACTTGCTTATCCAGAGGAGCATTAACGAAGAATGTAGTTTTAAATGTAGGTCGACGATAGTGCTATATAATTACGCGGTCAAGGGCGAAAATGCAGACATGTTTGATTAAGACATTATATGGAAGAGTTCTATTTATATCAAGAAGTAGAATGAGACATAATAAAAATTATCGAGACTGGTTATTTTAAAACTGATGTAAACGCTTAATTGCCTTCAAGGGACGCCCCTACAACACGTATACGTACCACTGCTAATATCAAACTCATTTTCAGGAATCGCTCACTGACAGCTTTTCCGTTGCGTTACGAGTTGAGACAATTTCATCGCGCTGAACTGTCTCTCAACAGAATGTTGTTCACGCTGTTATTTACGACTCACTTAAGTGTTTGTAGTTGTCCGATGGTTCACCTTCCTAATCGAAGAATACACGCAGCAACACTTCGGATCGCTGCGCAGTAGGTCACTACACTGGAATTTGTGGACGAGAAAGGGAAAATGGTTCCAATGGTTGCTACCTACTCGTAATCTCCTAAACATAACCATAGACTTGTCTTTCATCGTCCGTTATATCTGCACATTCAGGCAAACTAGATGCATGGAAAAGCCGAGAACGGCTCAGCCGTGATTCGATTTCATATTTGTTAAGTTTCTTGGGGCGGGGTGAGACTTTGAGTCCACTTGGTACGTCGCCATCAATTTGGCCTACTGTGCCAGCCACGGATGATAGATAATGATGAGTGTGTTGCAATCAGTGGAAGTAGAATTGACTGGGGAAACGGAAGTACTCGGAGAAAACTTGCCCCAGTGTCACTTTGTTCACCACAAATCCCACATGACATGACTTGTTCTTGAAGACTACCACCGTGGTGGGAAGTCGGCGACTAACAGTCTGAGCTATGGCATGGCCTGTAATGTGTGTTATTGAGAACATGAATCATATTTTGACAATTATCTAACATATCTGGCACTTAAGCTTGGGTTTCCTCGGGTAGCGGTACCGTAATCAAGCGGCCGTAATATGACGGTGAATGACGTCACTAAAACGTTGCCATGGAAACAAAGGAACATAGTTTCCTAGAAAGCGTTGACCACCAACGCTTTCTAGGAAACCATGTTCCTTTGTTTCCATGGCAACGTTTTAGTGACGTCATTCACCGTCATATTACGGCCGCTTGATTACGGTACCGCTACCCGAGGAAACCCAAGCTTTAGAGTATTTCTAGAGACTCATTTCGGCACGCAGCCATTTCAATATTGCATCTGTTAGACAGCAAAGTAAGAGCCGAGTACTATGTATATTCCCTTTCAACATGTTCAATAAGACGTCGTTAAGCCATAATGCTTAATGTTGTGTTAATATTAATGTGTCTTTAAACAAAGAACACACGACATAAATAATGCGTTGTATGCGTAAGTTTCCTTTGATTTTGAGCATAGGTGCTGTCTAGTTGCCTTCATCATTTTATGTAGGGCATGTCTCAATATTATTGACGTCCGTTCATTTTACCCACAAATCCACTGGTTCGAACGTCATGAATTCTGCAAACGCTACATGACAGAGAAATGCAAATATTTCCTTCCTCTACTTCATTGTATATAGGAAATATGACAAAGAGTATTTCAGGTTTTTGTGACAAATATATTTCGTTAAATGTGTTAATTTTAATAAGCAGCCATTTTAAGTGCCGAGTAACCTGAGGTGTATCTGCAATATATTGAACATAAAGACCACAGAGGAAACTGAAAGTCACAAAACATGCATTTAGAAAATATGTATAATCCCTATTATTCGTGGTTCTATTCAAATATTATACAACTACTGCAATGTAACTGAATCAGTCACTTATAAAAGGAAATGATCCCTTGTTTAGAGTCATTAAATATGTCTCCGTTTTCCAATAACCCATTCCATTTTTGACAGTCTCCAAATAGCTTAGTCCTTGTGGAGAAGCTGAAAGTCTAGTTACGAATTTTCCCACATTTACTGAAACTTTAAATCTATCACCGTGTTCAAAGGACCCCATAAATGGACTTGCTCCAAGCCAGACGAATTCTTGAACACAACAAAATTCTATTTGATATATTGGGTTTTTGGACTTTATCCATCGTCCTGGTTTTTAAGATAACAAATAAAAACACGACGTTTCGGAAACTGGATCTGTTTCCGTCCTCAGGTGAAGGAAAACACCTATTCTGTTGGGTCCGTTAGAAAGAGCTAGCCTCAATCACTGGACCAAGACGATGGATAAAGTCCAAACCCCCAATATATCAGTGTGTTATACACCATCGTCAGAATCCTATAGTAACTAAAATTCTATTTATTTAACATCTATTTTAATATTATCCTTAAATCTATGCCATAATCTTCCAAGGGATTTCTTTCCTTCAGCATTTCAGAGCAAAAGAATCAATAATTTACTTTTCCTTGCATGCTACATACCCTGCTAATATAATTATTGTAGCCTGTAGAGCCGTTACTAGGTAACGGTTCTGTAAACACGTTTTCGCGGCAACGGATACACATACAACAATAGAGGTACTGTTGAAAATGGTGTTTTATATTCTCACGTTGCAAAGGGTTATAAGGAGGAAAATTTAAACAGGAAGAGGCAGATGGAAGGGTGCCGCCGTTTAGAGAGGACTTGAGCCGGGGAGCAGAGAACTAGCCATTGTTAGAAGCCGTTACCTGGCAACTACCACTGAAGACACTGCGGGATGAAAAAAAAAACTTTTGTAAAGTGTAGAAATAGCGAAAGTGTTGTTGTTGCTTGTAGTTACGGCCTGTAAGTGGTCAATAAATTCAGTATCCAATCCGAAATCCCGTCGAGAATCACTACTCTAACACGTGATATTATCATTAACTTTTCAGCCTAATAGTATTAGATGAAGACTCTAATTGATAACTTAGATAATTAAAATGCTGCATCTTACTTTTTAGTTCTCTTCCCTCAGGAGAACATGGGCCCTTCTCCAGGATACACTTGATGATGCCATTGAGGGCCCTGTTGTTTCTGAGGATGGCGTCTAGGTCGATGTTGTCATACCGCGAGCTATACTTGTCCGACAATGCGACTGCGAATTCCAATGCCAGCAGGCACCAAAGACCCACAATCAAATGCTTGTACCCCATTTCTGTCGTACTTCACGCAGTTCCCAGCCTTTATAGTAAGCCACACGCTGACGTAAGTAGTTACGTCCTGTGTGAATATTTGTGCAGCGTGAACGGTGCGTAATTCAATCCACGACTTTGGTACCTCATCAAGGGCAGTAGAGAGACCGATCCGTGATCTGCCAACACTAGTTCAAGAGTCTAAGCTTGAGGGGCCAGAATGGGATAGTCAGTACGCCATGAAGTGTATATATAATTTCCATAAAATATAAAGCAAACCTTTCCCTGTAACAAGCCGTTGAGGCCCATAGGGTTGTGAGACGTCGAGGCTCCCACATTTTATAGACAATCGGCTCACACATATGACGGTGAAGTCAGCCTCACGCTCCGGCCTACCTTTACACACAGAAATATTCCTGGTACTTATTTCTGTTAGAGCCTGAGTCGAACCCAGGGCCATAGTGCGGCTGGAAGGATTATGTCAATTAAAAAATTCAGTGACCTCATCGGGGAGAGAACGCTAAAACTTCTGGCTTGTAGCATAGTGCCTCAACCAACTACGCTACCGCGTGCGTTTGCTTTCCTTGTACACCTCTTATTAACTTGCATGTATCACTAGCGTTCATGTTGTGTAATTGCAGATCCGAATGTGAAAATTGTAATTACAAACTGACTTAACTTAAACAATTTCTGTGTAGTGAAAATGTACGCAATGTAAATCATTGATGTTTCTTTGTAGTTATGACGTGTTTGTCGCTTGTTCATATATTGATATAGTGACCAAACTATTTGACAAAGTTTACTGTAGTAAATTGATAGAACGTGGAGTTCCAAATTTAATTTCCACGAAAGTCACCGAATTTAGCCCCTTCGAAATCTTGTTATGCCGATCACGGCATACTGGGGTCGTGGGTTCGATTCCCACTCGAGGCATAGATGTCTGCATTTATTCAGAGTCTGGGCTGCCCTGCGTGTAGATAGCGGCTTCTTGAAGGGCTGATCCCCCGTCCAAGGAGTCCTACAGACCTTGTATAGGATTAATTCCATAATTGCATCGAATAAACATACAGTCCTTTGGAATATTTTTTGTCCAAATGAGCTCTAGAACAGGCTCTTTAAGTCTGAGCATTAGTATATACTCTGTATATTTCATGTCTCATAAATTTGTATGAATTTGTTTGGTTAACAGTGTTGAAACTTTACTTGTGGTATACAGGTATAAAGTCCATATACCACTATGACTAGGCTGTATGCTTCAGGCTTCTTTAACCTTGGGAATGTTGTTTTTAAACTCCGACAATTGAGAGCCCTTTGATCTGTTCGACTATAGGTTGTCGGAAATCCCCCTGAGATATTACGAAGAGAAAGTTCCTAGAACTACCGCATTATACACACTACTGACTATATAATAACAGGGATTCAAACCTTAGATAAATGTGAATTTCACTTAGAACACGAATACCGAAGAAGTCCCCCGGCACTCAGTTACTTCATTTTACCACAGGCTGCCCAGTTCGCAGAGAATTTGGCTTAGGGGAAAAAGAAGAGAAAATTCTTGAGCCTACCAGAACTCGAACTCCGATCCCTCAGTCGTCCAGCCGGTAGCCAGTCGCTATACTGGCTACGCTAACCCGGCTCCAGATAGACAGAGTAGATGTGAGATGTTGCTGCAAGTGGCTGATTTTGAAACTGAAATGTAACCACCTGCCCGTGCAAGAACTAATCCTCTTCTCCATGCTGGATGTACGTACCGCCTAGTGCGTTCAGGGTGCTAGTCAACATTGCAGATTTATTTTCCTCAAATAAATCTTTAATTTTTTCAAATCTGTATCTTGCTTACCTGTCTCATTATCGTACCATTTGTAATTTGTTCACTAGATTCCGTCATGGAAAAGAAATGACGAGTTTCTACTTTTAACAGCGGTCTGTGCCCCATGTACAAAGTACAACTTCTCAGGGCCACTTGGTGCCCCGAAGCACCTTAGCGGGAACACCAAGGTGCAAAGTACACAATTTCAAGGCCAGTAACAAGAGGATGCTTTTTCTTGGTGGCCCGAAGTTCCTTAACCAGAATATCGGTTTACAGAATTCAACAAAAACCTTAGAACTACACACGGTAACTTAATTGGTTGAGATGCTATGCTATAAGCCGAAATATCGCGGGTTCGATTCCCAATGAGGTCACTGGATTTTTAAATTGACCTAATCCTTCCAACCGCACTATGACCCTTGGGTCGGCTCAGCCTCTAACAGAAATGAGTACAGGAGTTTTGCTGGGGGGGAGGGGTAGAGGGCTGCCGGCGCGTAGGGCTGATAACCTCACTGCCATTTGTGTGCTGATTTTCTAGATGTGGGAGCCTGGACCTCTTACAGCTTTATAGACCTCCACGGCCTGTTACATGGATAGCTTTACCTTGCCTTTACAATATAATTTAGCAGATTTTTCTAAGCAAACTCTACAGGAATCGTAGATAATAGGGCCTTATCACAGCGACTGACACCTGACTCGGAGGGTGCTACCTAGGCTGTCACATCGACGTGCATTCATAGCGGTGTCCTCCCGGTGACGTAACATTGCCGACGTTCACAAGCCCAGTCTTCCTCTCTTCTCCTGTCCTGCAACAACTGCCATAAGCGCCGCGTGGCTTCTTCCCAGTGTCTGGCAACACTGGGAACACAGAAAAGTGAAGTGTTCCCAATATATAATTATCACGTGAAGTTCGGGGAACTCCGTCAAGTTACAAAGAAAGGAAATGTTTGCATATCCATGTCGCTATCCTCCTAAACACATTTTGTAATTCATTTAAGCGTGTGTACGTAGTAACAAAAGAAATTCTTGGAAAATCAATCGTCTACGGACCGCGTAGAAAACATCGCGTACAACAATTCTATTGCTATATGTGTATTCGCTGTAGAGGGAACGTGTTTACAAATCCGTTGCCTAGCAACAGACACACAGGCAACAATGTAATCTCACAAGCCTCCTTTTATTCCTTCAAAATAAGGAAAGTAGACTGAAGAATTGTTACTGAGTTTAATTAAGTACCATGTCATGAAGACGTACGAGTGTGAAGGAGTACAAGCACAGCCGCCGTGCTCATTGGATAGAAGGTTAGGTGGGTCAGGGAGCCGGTCTAGCAGCTGTGGAGAAGAGAAAAAATGCGTGCCCCCTGCCGGGAATCAAATCCCGGCCAATACGTACCCCCCTCGAACACTGGGATCGTGGATTCGAATCCCACTCGAGGTATAGATGTTTGTATGTGTTTGTGTGCAGGTAGCGGCCTTGCGAAAGACTGATCCCCGTCCATGGAGACCTACTGACTGTATGATTAAGGAACTGAAACGGCAGCCAAATTCAGAAAGGCTGTAGGGACAGAAAGAGAGAGAACATGGTCGGTATTTTTGTCTCTCTACAGTTTATTAGGTGCCTAACCTACATGAGGAACTCTCTTCACGGTTCAGGTTATTGCTGTTCACCTCAACAAGAAATTGCGTCTTCAGGGATCCCGGAAGTTAACCTATAATAAATGGGGCTCTTGCCACACACACCAGTTTGTTTCAAGGTCACAGAGGCTATCTCCAAAACATGGAAAGTATCTGTAAATTTATTGAACAATCAGTCGTGGCAGCTGACAAGAGTTATTGTTGCAGATTGATATGGGGACGGACACCAAAAGATCATAAATTTGAGCATGTTACAAAATTGTACACATGAATTCGGATTTCGCTGGATTCTCCTACACGACGTAAGGAACGAACAGACATTACACATTTTTCCTTACATATAAGCCTCATCGGTAAGTAAAAAAAGTAAAGCTATCCCTGTAACAGGCCATGGAGGTCCATAGGGTTGAGAGACGTTGAGGTTCCCACATTTTATAGACAATCGTCTCATAGATGGCGGTAAGGTTGTCAGCTACACACGCCGCCTGCCCTTTACCGCCAAGAATATTCCAAGAATATTCCTGGTACTCATTTCTATTAGAGGCTGAGTCGAACCCAGGTCCATAGTGCGGCTGGAAGGATTAGGTCAATTGAAAGAAAAAATCCAATAACCTCATCCGAACGTGAATCCTCGACCTTCCGGCTTGTAGCATAGTGCCTCAACCAACCGGTACTTTCGAGATGTGCCACCCTTGTAATTCTTTTCACGGAAATATTCGTTACAGTGTTCAAAATTATCGGAGCCGTTCTGGAGAGGATCATAATTTTTTGGCTTGGAGCTCCTGTAAAATGCCATATTTTGGGAAAAAAAATAGTCATCTAGCACAGAGCTGTGATGAATAAATCCTTAAACACTGAATATGAATAAAATCCATGCAGCAGTTTAAGGACTAGCGAGGGACACACACACACACACACGGACAAACCAGAAACCAATTTTCCGATTCAAGGGACAATAAGAACGTATAAAACCGTCAAAATCTCGAGATCGGAATTTTTATGATCACAATGGTACGTTTTCACATGCTCTTACGTATATGAGGAAACAAAAATCTCAGTACGAACCCATTGAATATTGTAACATGCACAGCTAGGCAACGGCTCAGTAAACACATTTCCTAGGTAACACAGAAAACTATAGAACTTACTAGGGTTTTGATACAAGCGGTGTAATTTTAACTGATTGAGAACCAATATCCACGACAACGAAACGTTCAAGGCACAGGAACAGCTAAGAACGCAATACTTCTACTGCTGAAAGAGGTGTCTTCTACAGGGTTCGCCGAAACATTAGAACAGGAGACTTTGCCAGATGAATTTATTGCATCCTGTGTGGAGGAGGGGTCGAATACCTCCAACGTAACCTTGCGAGTCGTAGGAAATGACGAAAAGGAAAGTCTCCAATCTGAAACAGTAAAATATGGTCGCGAGTCCCACGGTACTCGGACTCGAGGGCCAGCAGCAATTGTAAACAACACACCCGTCCTATCGTCAGAGAGGGCGCCCCACATCAATAAATCCGCAACTGTTTGACAGTAAGAAAAATCTAGTCGTAAACCCCAGATGGGTGCTTTATTCCAAGATACACTGGCCT